ATTCCTCCCTTTTTCATTTGCTCCATATATATATATATATATATAATATATGAAAGTATGGTGAAATTCATTTTTCAAAATTTTTTCTTTCTTTTTATAGGTGATAGTGGCTATCCAATGGAACCATGGCTTCTGACAACTATATTAGATGCTCAGCAGCAAAATGAGCAAAACTATAATAGCAGCTTTACATCAACAAGAATCATTGTAGAATGATGTAATGGACTTCTAAAGTCCCAATTGAGATGTTTACACAAGCACAGGGTGTTAAAATTATTCACCTTATAAAGATGGATTAATAATTAATGCATGTGCTGTTTTACACAATATGTGCATAGTACATAAAATTTTTCTTGATGAGAATATAGATTTATATGACAGAATGATGGGAGAAATGGAATTTCCTACAGTATCCAGACTTGGAGATGACATTTCACTTGGCAACAAAGCCAGAGAAATTCAAAAACGACTCCTCAGGAACCATTTCATGTAAATATGTAAATAAAAATTATACTGTATAATAGCTGTGTAATTACAATAAATAAAAAATGGTATAATTCTTATATTTGACTGATTTATATTCTGTAAATTTTAAACAATAGAAGCATTTGTACTATACTGAAATAAAACATTGTTATATTTTTAATGGTTAAAATTTATAAAATACTTGTACATATTTAGTGACAAATAATTTTTACAAAATACATATGAATAATTAAAATGAACATAATATTTATTTTGCACAGAATGATATGCAATAATTATCTAGTATATAAATGAAACTTTTCATATCAGATGATTTATGAAACCAGTAACCATCTTTGTTGCTAGAAGAAACATATTTTAGTAATTTGTAAAATAAATTAAAATTTTTTGTAAATAGTTAAAAGACTTTCCTGAAATGTGAAATTTACTTGATAATATTGGTTGAAAATAGATTTGGTTACTCTTTATCACAAATGAATGGCCCTGAAAAGGGCCTTTTTTATTGTGAAATCATTTATTGATTTTCTGCTTCTGTTATAGAATTCCTTAATGAAGCAGCAATTTCCTGCAAAGCAGCAGCCTTGTTTTCTGCTGCTGTTGCCTTCCTTTCAATATTTTTTGCCATTTCATTCATTGCTTGTTGCATGTTTTTTTAAATGTGCAACTTTTCATCTGTTCTCTTAAGGCTTTCTGCCATACATTCCCCAACAGATTTTTCATGNGTAGAACATTGCATTCAGATTTCGAATAACATCGATTCTACCAGTTTCACCTGAAGAAGAACGAGGTTCGAAAACGTTAGTGGAAATATTTGGAAATAAGCACTGTTTTGGTTTACTGCAGAAGTAAGTCGTTATTTTTACAGTGTGTTTAGAGGAGATTATTTACATGGTAATACTGTATTCACTTAGTTTATTAGAAACAATGGTACTGAAGTTGTATGTGAAATGAATATCTTAAACTTAAAATTTTCTTACGTGAATACTGGAAAGGATGGATATAGAAAGAACCTGATACATGACCTTGCCCGCGCATACGTATCGCGAATAGCCGCACGTGACACTTCTAACAGACAAGCAGCGGCCCACGGAACACACAACGTAAATAGTACACAGTCTCGTGCGGTGGTTGAGTACAACCACCACCTCAACTCCGTTTACAGGGAGATTGCTGCCCATACTAATGCTAAGATTGCATACAAGAGGTCTAGCACTGTATATGGGCTACTCCGTGGTGGCAAAGACAAGATCAATAAAAAGCAAGCACCGGGTGTTTACATGGTCCATCTATGGGACAACAGGTTTCAAAGGGAATTAGTTTATGTTGGGTCCACAAAACGCTCTTTAAATAAAAGATTGCAGGAACACAAATATGACATCATTAATAAATGGCACACCACCGCCCTATCAACTTATGCCACTGAACCCAGCATAAGAGCTGACCTACATGAGGCCAAACTGATCAAACTTTCTCACCGGGTGGAACACCTGCGAAATCTAGAGGCACTGGAAATTTACAAAGCCGGGTTATGCACCAATTGTATTAACGCTAATGATGCGGTCAATGTGTCGCACGCTTGGAAGTACTGCTATGAGGTAGCGGGCGACGCCCACTCCAGCAGTTAGAGACCACATCCCCATTTGGTGTATTTATTTATATATATTTATATAATTGTATGTATTACATATGCCATTCTGTCGCCATGGCAATGCACATGCATTAAATTACCAAACGATCGCCTAAATATCGGGCTATATTTAAATGATTGGAATAAACTAATTTGACATTAGAGGTAGGCATTAGGTGCCATCTCTTAAGTAAATTAATAATTAAAATTAAATAAATAAATTATTAAATTAATTTTAGAACCTTCTGGAATAAAAGAACTGGCCCGGGACGGGGCTTGAACCCACAACCTTCATATAGTTATTATTTACTGGGTAATTTAAAATTGTTGCATACCAGCTTGTATTTTCCCGTTTTCTTATGTCTTCCATGTCTTGAACGATGGAGAGCTCCATAGCTCTGTATATTATTTCTTTGCTATACTGCTCCATATTATGTGTACGATCCAACAACAATTTAATAGAGAATCCGTATTTATTTACTATCTTCGATAGCTGTATTATCCAACTTCGTCTTAAATCCGTTTCCTTTGATTTGTGATATAGTAAAAACAGTAATTTTGTTGTTATGTCTTCTGCCTTAATAATTTTTTGTAGAAACATTAAATATCTTTTTATTAATATAGTGTTTAGTCTAAATCTATTTGTTTCTAGTCTTAAAGCACTGCCCGGGATATTAAATTCTAACTGGAATATCTTGCGTATAAATATATTCTGTATTTTTTCGAAATCATTAAATTTATCCATACTCCAAACTGGGGC